ACTACCCTGCCTCTCAGTTGAGGAAGGCAAGTGAGGCTTCAGCTTTAAGCCGGGACGCGGGTTCGTCCATTGATGTACTAAGTTTCTGGGTTTAACAGTGAGAACACTCGGTCCATTTCGATGTATCCTGAAATGATTAACCCACAAACTATTCTAGGAAAGAGCTGAAAGATGACAAAGGGTAAAAAGTCAAGAACTCACACCATGAGATCGTCCAAGGTCTCGGTTTTCAGGTTGCTGCGTTCGCCTCTGGAGAGCCTGTTGGCGGTAGAAAAACTACGCTCCGGATCTGCGTTGCTCGCAGGAATAACGAGAAAGCATTTTATAGCCTAAAAATTATTTAGGAAGTGAAGTTTCCCAACAGGGATTTATGTGAAGAGTCTCACCTGTTGAACGACATGAGGAATTTTCAACGCTTCACCGTTGTCAAGAAGTGTTTTGTAGAGTCGAATACTGTTTTTGTCACTGCGGAGATCGGTTGGCCATGTGTTCGATGTGCGCGCCGTTCTTGCAATTGAGTTGTAGAAGTCAAAGAATGGGCCACGGGCTTCAGGCAGGGAGCAGTTTTCCTGAATGTCGGTGATGGACATCAGAATGAGTCTATCACGCTTGCCTTTATCCACATTTCCCTCCTCGTTCACATATTGCGTGTTGTTGAACATTCATTACATGTTGTTCAACAACATGCACAACACATACACACAGAAGTGTATGTGTTGTGCGTGTTGTTGAACATTCATTACATGTTGTTCAACAACATGCACAACACATACACTTCGTGGGTATGCGTCGTGAATGTTGTTGAACACACATTACTAGTTGTTTAACAACATAGTATGTTGTTGAACAACAAGTAATGTATGTTCAACAACATTCACAACACATACTTTTCGTGTGTTGTTGCATTGTATGCGCTGTGCATGTTGTTGAACATATGTTACTTGTTGTTCAACAACATAGTATGTTGTTGAACAACAAGTAATATATGTTCAACAACATGTACAACACATCCACTTCATTTTAGCAGTAAGAAGTATGCACAATGAAGTAGATGTGTTGTGGATGTGCTCTATATGTTGCTTAACATTCACTACTTTCGTTTTAGAACATAATTTCACATCACTCATGTTAAGCAACATATATGTATAACGCATCCACAACACATCCGCTTCATTGTGCATACTTTTTAGTGTGTAAATGAAGTGGATGTTTGTATGAAATCATGCATTTCAGGAGAACGTTGTAGCAACGAAATGTTTGCGCTGTTCCGTACATTCGAAAAGGTGAGCATATTTCTTTCACGGTCAGTTTGTTGTGTTTTAATGTCAGTTTTCAGATGGCCGTTTATCTCGTTCTCGGAATCTGCTTCACTATCAGCGCGATGTCCACGGGTCTGCCAAACGAGTAAGTAAAACCAAAAATGTATTGCAATCTTTAATCACGCATTTGAATACACTCATTTCAGCGATCCAATGGATTTACCCGCTACGTGGAAGGCGTGTCGGTGTCCTCGTCCTGTCGAAGTCGCTGCAACCAACCACA